TTAAAATATATATATATATATATATATATATATATATAGATAGATAGATAGATACAAGCATACATCACTCAATATATATATTGCAAATGATAAAAGAAAAAATGCATAAACAAACGTTTCATACAGAGAATTAAATTATGGATGAAATATATTACTAGTTAGTTAAAGTACTGCCTTTAATGTATCTAGTTAACATGCTTATGGCCTAAATTAATATTGTTTATTTGCAAATTCTCTCCGATGTTACTGCTCAGCATCTTCTAGCTGCAGGGAATTCATGCTTATGCCGAAGTTAACATTTCAGTTCGCATGACTAAAATTCTTGCTTTAATTCCCTGATCATCACAAAAAGTCCAACTGATGGGATGGCATCCCTCATCCCCAAAGTCCTCTAGAGCTTCGTGCCCATTACCACCAAATCATCCCGCCGGTCCTCCCATCACCGCCACACCCAAACCTTCACCTCCACCGTCTTTTCTTATGAGAACCATTGGAGGAAACCAGAGGAGAAGAAATAGAGCTTAAACCACCTGCGGCCTGGCGGGGCGGTGGTGCTAATCACAGGAGATATACACACACACACACATATGAACTGAACACTCGCTCATTATTGACTATACCATGACTAGTGATGAGACACACAATGAAATGAGTAATATATATAAAGAATCGTAATGAAATGGAAAAAGAAACTTTGAATGCTTACGCGAGTGAAGTAGTAGCCATGACTACGAGCTTGCCGGAATTCGATGTTGGTGGCCGCACTGGTTGTTCCTTCAAGCAGAAAGAGATGAGAATGAGTTTAGGAAACGTTTTGCGGAAATTTTATATCATCAAGGGTTAAGGTGTGAATTGTTTTGCGGAAAGAGCATTTGGCAATGCAAATGTAACAAGATCTTTTAAAAGGAAAGCAGTTTTCCAACCCAAACGTCTCCCCAAAGTTTTGAAAAAGACAGGAGTGCTTGTGATTGGACGAGCGGGAGACGAGCAATGGGCTGTATCGAATTTGGGTAGCATCTTTCAAAAACAAGTTTTCAAACTAACGGAAAACCCTCCTCATATTATCGATGAAGGCCACGTGGCCATGAAAATGAAACTTATCATGTACCATGGTGGACTCCGTCTCATCTACTTTGCATTACGGTGGTGCTAATCACATAAGATACACACACACATATATATGAACTGAGTACTCACTCATTATTTGACTATACCATGACTAGTGATGAGATGCACAATGAAATGAGTAATATAAAGAATCGTAATGAAATGGAAAAGAAACTTTGAATGCTTTACGTGAGTGTGTGGGTGCAACCAATGACGTTGCATGTGCTGGGGTAGCAAGGGATCACGATGGTGCATTTGTAGATGGTTTTATGTTTAAATTGGGAGGGGAAATAGTCTTCATGCAGAGTTGTGGGCGGTGCTGTGGGGATTAAAAAGATCTTGGGAGTTGATATGGAAGAGGCTTATTATTGAGACTGATTGTATGGAAGTGATTGATTTAGTTGTATCTGGCTGGCCTGATTATCATCCGGATTGGCACTTGCTAGAAGAGATCAAATGGTGGATGGATCGTGAATGGGATGTAAGGTTGGATTGGTGCTCCAGAGATGTCAACTTAGCTGCAGACACGTTGGCAAAGAAGCCATTGTTATCAGCTAAAGGGATAAATTTTTTCTGCACTCCTCCAAGATGTATTCAGAGCTTGGTCGGCACTGATGCCATTGTGTAGTTTTAGTTTTTATTCCTCATCGAAAAAAAAAGAAAAGGAAAATTCCTGTAAATGGGGAATTAGTTTTGAAATTGATTGAGCAGTTAAATTCCAATGACATGAGGGTAAAATTGTAAATCTGCTCTAGTAAGCCTTAGAATGCATCTAGGCTAGGACAAAGTCCAATTTCTCGTTAGGTCTAAGAATCCGTCTAGGCTCTTAGGTTACGTTTGGTATAAAGCAAGCATTAAAAATGAGAGATAAGAATTGGGATTGGAGTTGAAACCACATGTTAAAGGATGCTTAAGATGAATGATTTCTTATCACATGGGATTAGGCAATCCCATATAGATAGGATTGGAGAATATCACCTCCTCTTATGATATTTCCTAATTCCACATATATGGGTTTGTCTAATCCCAAGTATCATACAATTAGTCATGCTAAATATTTTTTTAATATAATTTGTACTTTCAATCTCAATCCCTATTCCTCATTTTAATATTTCGTACCAAACGGCACCTTAATGTCTGCAACGTTAGCAGCTCTACACCATTTGATGGAAGCCGGATACCATCATAGGTCACAGCCTTGGACAGCCTCATCAAAGCTTCCTTTTTCTGCTTTCCAAGTCTCCTCCGAACAATCTCAGCCGTTCACTCTCCGCACAGTTGATCTTATAGTTCTCTTCGACTGGGAGATAGATGCTTTCACAGATCACAACTGTTGCTTCCACATCTTGGTTATATAAACCCGTGATTATACGCCTTTGAATGATTTTTCCAGGGATTAAAATGATATATTAGGATCTGTTGCCCATAAACTATAACAATGGGTCATTGCTCATTTATGTTTCATTCATTCATTTATGGGTCCAAACTTTTTTTTTAAAAAAAATACATCGATGGAGACAAAAACACGACAAGGATCAGCACGATGCACAACTTTCGCATAAATTTGCATAAAATATTCCCACAATATCATCATCTGACTGTTAAGCAAAAAGAATGAAGATTATAGAAGTCTCAAATGAAACTACAAGTTCATCAAAAGTAAGGTTAGATTATCTATCTATCTAGTTAAGGTTAAAGTACAAATTCACTTAAAAAATTTTCACTGAATGCTAGGCATTTGGAAATATTTTACGTCAATATTATCATAAAAGTTTAAAATCATAGCAATTTCACCTTTTTCTAAAGTTTCTTTTTTTTTCCTTCTCATTCTAGCTAGTTATATATATAGATAAAAACGGAGTCAAGAAAGTAATGAAAATAGAGAAATGTAAAAAGTCCTAAATATCGTTAGTCACAAAGACTTGTCATGAAACACTAGAGTGAAAAAGGAGAGGAACGGATCAGTGGAATATGGCTTGAGATGAAAAAGTGAGGCCAAGATAGTCTTTTTTTAAGCATTCCCAAGTAAACAAAGACATTTCATAAACCCTTTGACGAAATGAAAATGAATGAAAATTTATTACTTTTGGTCTTTAATATAAAAATTAGTTGACTAATTTGAGTATTATCTCTAATCTAATTATAAGATCTAATTTGTAGTCTACAAATGAGATCTTATAAATAAGGCTGGAGGTAGTGTGTTAAAAAAATTAGTTAAGTCAGTTGTTTATAATAAACAAGTATTATCTTTTCTAAAATATCCTTGCTAATCAAGTATACTAGCTAAAACTACTATCATTACAAGGATTGCATTGAAAAAATGAATAAATATGAGATACAAATTGAATTAGAGTTTTACATTTAGAATCAAAATAAAAGTTAAACAAACTCTTATACTATCTCCGGTTCTACTTATAAGACCTCATTTGTAGTTTACAAATAGGGTCTTGTAATTAGGATCGGTATTAAGAGATGTGATCAAATTATGAATGATATATACTAAGCAATATGATCTAATATGCCTTTAATGTATCTCAGAATATGCCTATGGCCTAAATTAATAAATTTTTTAACTTTAGTATTTGACAAAAGACCAACTGTGATTGCAGAAAGTTAAAAGCTGCCCAACATAATTTATTGCCTTTTGTTTTTGGGGGGGGGGTTGAATGGTCATCAAGAGTCCCATCTTGGTCCACTATATGCTCTAGATCCATCCAACGTAGCCCATGGTCCCTAAGCCCAACACTAACACCTTTCGGCCCAATAATTGTTTCTTCCCACTCTCATTAATGCGAGGCCCATTTGTTACATCCTCCAGCTTTGGGCCCACCGCCAAATCATCCGGCCCGTCCGTTCACCTTAAACATTTGTTATTCTAAGCTTTTGACATTAGCAAAAATAGATTTTCGACATTCTCCAACCCCCACGAATCATCGGCCGGTCGGTGAAACCCCACGGCCACGAACATATGAGGAAACAAATTATTTGATCGTCAAACAAAGACGTCGATCGTCATTTTTCGATGACCTTAGGCACCATTAATGGAGGAAAGCAGAGAAGAAACAAAGCGCAAACCACCTTACACTGGGAGGTGGGGCTAATCGCAGGATATCTATGGACTAGATACTCAATCATTATTTAACGACTATTCTAATAAGTGAGACGCACACAGAATATCCAGAATTGCCTTTTTCATGCATTTCACGTACAACTCCGAAAATGACACGAAAACTTGCGCGGTTTCACAGGACATATTATGGGAAGGTGAGACCCCAGTTAGCTCATCGACCCCTTTCTACCTGTTCACCTACTCGTTGTTCGCCGCAAGACCCCCTTTCCGCCATTGAAGAGAACCAACTTTTGCAAGAGAAGTCCAGCGAAATGTGCTGCCGGAGTGGAGGTGGATTTTATTGGCCGGGTGGGACCCGCTTGCCACGTTTAAGTCAAAACCTTTTTGTGTATTTTAGGCAAAGCATCCTCTCCATTTTCCTTTGCTAAAATCAGAAGTACATCACTTCCCATCTCTCCACCAATCAGCTTCTTGTATTCTACCACTTGGACAATTTAAATTTAATGATTTACAAAATTTAAAAAATGAATTATATTTTTGACAAAAAACAACCTTTTGATAACAAAAAAAAAACCACTTTAAATATTTGCTAATTTAGGAATTTAATTATAAATAAATGTTCAGGTCTAAAATGAAAATCTTATTTTATAAATGATATTTATTTTTATAATTCTTTAAATTGATATTTGCAGCTCTTTTTAAAATTTTTGTCAGAATCTAATTGTAATTAAATTTTTTTAAAAAATACGTAGAGACAAATTAGTTGGGACAACACTATCTTCTATTGGCCTCAACCAACAGGGAAAAATATAAAGGAGGTAGGCCCAGAGTCCCCGTTGGGCAAAACGTTGGCCGACAATTCCATAGTACTGACGAAATGCCTACTTTTTCCCCAGTGCTTGACTCGTGTAAGCCGCAGAATCTTCACATTTAAGGTTGTTTAATAATTAATGTCATCCGCGTTTTAATATGGCAAAACTAACAAAGCGTTATTTCTCGGTAGGAAATGCACATTAACCCATATGAATGAGAATTACTTCCAGGTAACATTTATACAGGTCATCCATACATAACCACAATCACTATTGTAATATACTGAAGATTTGATTCTTAATATAAAACTTATTTAACTAATTTAATTAGATTAAAAAATTAAGTTAATTAGTTAATTATGAAAAAATGATATTTGTTTATGAATTTTATAACTTCTTCAACTATATTTGTCAAGGAATTTTATAACTTGTTGAACGGTTTCAATTATGTAAAATAAACCTTAATATATGACCTATAATTCTAATTATAAAACTTTATTTGTAAACTACAAATAAGGTCTTATAATTAGGACCGAAAGTAGTATTAGATATCAGTCCCTTGAGTTAACTAGTCTAGGCTCTCCACTATTTTCCCGAGGGAGTAAAATAAAATAGTTCAGATGTTACAATTTGAAAAGTAATTATCAAAATATTATATTTAAAATCGAGAATTAAGATTTTAATTTCTGTCATCTCACTTCCCATCCTGATACTCAGTCATTCCCCAGTCCCCGCCTTTTTCAAATTATACTCATTCTTTCTTTGTTATATTATTTCTTTTTTCTTCTTTCCTTTTTTATTTTCTTTTTCGGTTTATTTTTTTCTGCAAAATAAAAGAAGACATGGATATTTTATATAAATAATACTCCTCTGGTTCTTAATATATGATCTAAGTTTTAAGTTAATTTTGGTCATAAATATAAGATCTATTTCTCATATTTATCATTTTTTTCTAAATTACCTCTATAAACACTCCCTCAACCATAATCAAGTAAGTGAGGAAGGGAGGATATTAAGAAAGATGATTATGGTATTTTAGGAAAAACATGTCATATTTCTTATAATTAACTAATTTACCTAACTTCCTTAATCTAATCAAATTAATTAAATAGATTTTATATTAAGGACCGAAAGAGTATTTCTTATCTCATAATTAATCATTTCATGTTAATTAAATAACCTTAATTGTAAATAAATATCTAATGAAAAAATAAGCATTATAAATCAGCATCACATTATAACCTCATTCAGTTATTTGGAACTTACAATGGGAGTAGTATAGGTTCTCGCCTCCTATAATTTGATTATCAGATTTTCGTATGTTGTTTTGGTTTTGTCTCTTCATTTTATATTATATTGTTATTAGGTTGCTATGTTATATCATTTTACCATTTTTTATTGTAAAATATTATTTTGTTTTATGTTAATTTATTCATACATTTATCATGCTTCATTTAGTGGTTTACCGATACTAACTCATTATTTTTGTTGTTTTTATAAATTATACATATATATAATTTATGCTGTTTGTATTTTTTTTCTTTTACTGAGTTCGTTAATATTTATTTAATTTATTTCGTTACAATTATTTTGCCTTGGTTTAAATTGTTGCCTATATATTTGATTATAAAATATGTATATTTATTTATATTTACTTTGCTGTAATATTTATATATTTATTTATATTGCTATAATTCCCCTTCTAGATATATATAGACACACTCATCTCTCTATATACTGTGATTC